TCAGGAACCCCCAAAATGGACTTCTAACAACCGCCACCCCAACCGGAGGAGTTACGTGGGCATGAAAAAAAAAAAAAAAAAAAGAACAGATTTCCACATCTGCAACTGCAATGAATCGATAGCCACTGTGCGGGGCGGTTAACAATGAACGCATCTGCATCAACGACTGTGTGGGGGTATTCACCATTTCAGATTTCTGCAAATTTCGTTTGTGAAAACAACAACAACATTCCATACAAGGACTGCATTAAAGACAACACCTTTAATACACGTCTGCATTCCATTTCGGGAGATGACACCAAAACACATGTTGTTGAGAGAGAGAGCTGTCTCTTATACACATCTAGATGTGTATAAGAGACAGGTGTGTGTGTGTGTGTGCGCCTGTCCAATCAATCAATCAATCAATCAATCAATCAATCAATCAATTCAATCAATCAATTCAATCAATCAATCAATCAATCAATCAATCAACGGAAAAAAGAAAAAAAAAACGCGCTGTTTTTTTTTTTTTTTTTAAATACCTTCACGCACCCAAACCTCCCCACACAGAAATTAGTTTTTTTTTATTTTTTTTTGTATGAGGGGGTGGGGCTGGGGATGCACCGCCCCATGGCGCTTCCCGAATCACGAACCCCCCTCCCCACTGGCCGCTATGCGGCCATGCGGATACGTCCGCAGGGTCGCGGCCTAGGCCGTAGCCGCGGACTTGGCCGCGGATGACCGCCGCCGAGGGGGATTCATAGAAAGTCGCCGCGTCGATCCGTCGAATACAGTAGCCGGTTCATTGGGCAGGGTGCTTCAGGTACCGAATGTGGCAAGCGCGGCTCTCCACGGCGTCGCCAGCACTGGGGGGAAAGGCGAGAAGAGGGTACCCTCGAGGAGGCAAGAAGGAAAGAGCAGACGACGGACCGTACTCCGATAGCCGCTGCCGACGACGACGAGCCACTCGCGAAGCGGAAGAAAAGATCACGGCAGGAGGACGACTTGGACGCAAAGTCCAAGCTGTGGACGGGCGGAAAGACATTCTGGGGTGCACTCTTGCGCAGACTACTATTGCATGATCGTGAATGGTGGCACTACCGCCAACGCTCCCGCAGGCCTGATCATGCCAACAAACAACGTCCCCCGCTTTCGGGTCGAAGATCCAGCGCAACACGATCCAGCTCTTCGTAGCCCCATAGGGCGAGAAGGACGGAGAACGTGGCCATGTGCGTGATCCACGGGTGGATCTTCAGGTCCCCTTCCAGAGCCGATGCTTTCGCCCGCGCGGAGTCGTATGTGTTAGTGGACTACCCGACAGATCTGGCGATAGTAGTCTGGCAGTCCCTGGAGTGGTCGATGGTGGTTACTCCCAGCGTTGTTTATCACACTCTCGCCCTGAGGATGGACATTCCGTTTTGGTATGTAGGGGCGTACATCCATAATAGGTCGGAGGACGATGCCATGGCTGCCCTTCAGGAGTCCACGGACTTGCATTTGGCATCTTGCTTCCAAGATGTGCTCTGCGGCGGCCAGTGGTCCAAGAACAGGAAGATGTCCCAGTCCAGGCTGAATAGAATCGGGAACGCCTTCCGCCTTCTTCTCGCCGCCAACATGTGGATCATGCGCATGGGTGGCGACGACGCCCGTTCTCACTACGAGGCCTCGTACTACTCGCAGCTCGTCATGAAGCCTACACTGCTGGCAGCAGGGTCGCAAGCATTTAACTGGCGCAGGCATATCGTGGAGTATGCGAATGCGGTATTGTATCGCCTTGGAAACCCGCCCGTGACATTGGGTATATTTCCCAACTACATCCCAGAAATGGCGGCTTGCGGAATCAGGTTCAACTACAATGCCTGGTTGGCGGAACCTGACATGGCGGCAAGGATGGATTGGTTGGGGACAGGACCTCTCGCCGACGAAACGAAGGATGGTGGAGACGATGACGATGGAGCCTCATGGAGGGTCGTGAGAATCGTCGTAGTGCCACCTCCTCGCCTTGTCCGCATGCGGAGCGGAAGGTCCCCCAGTTGATGGCGCCGCATCCGCCGTCCTTTGTCCTTCGTCCGCAGAGAGAGAGAGAGAGAGAGAGAGAGAGAGAGAGAGAGAGAGA